CTATTTATTTACCAAAATAAATCCATGTTTAAACAATTACCAATATGTTTTTATTAGAATTTAATTTAATTAAATGCAAAAATTTGACCAAATGAATGCAAATTTCAAATAAATTCAAAAACTCTAAATAAAATTTTCTACGAATAAAACCTAATCAAAACAAAGTCTAGGTTAGGCATGTCAATCGGGCTAACCCGGCCTGATCCATCCCAAAACCCTTTACATGTATTTAAGATCGGCCCAGTCCGACCAACAAAAAAAATAGTACAGTCAAGACTAGAACCTCCATCAATGATTTCTTCATTACTATCTAGAGCATATAAATATAGAAATAAAAAAATTTAAGCCATTACATGTATAAATCATATAAAAAATCCACTCAAATTTTGTAAGTATGATTTTAAAATATTAAATAAATGTGAATAATATAATAACCTAGATTATGAAACGTAAATCCATCCAACCAAGTGCGTGTACAAATCAATGCTTCCACGTGTCTTGAAGACAATTTATTCATCTGTTCAAGACATGCGCACCAATACTAAATGTAGACTCTGATGAAACTTTAGTTATTAGAATGCTGAGAACATCATATATTATGTCGTACGAACTAACTCACCATATGTTTATTTTCGGATTTTTCGGGCGAACCCGAGCCCAAACGGACTTAGGCCCAAAAACCCTATAGCTCGAATGGACTCTCGAAAGGCCGAATTTTTTTCCTTATATATCTAAGCATAAGTCCTGTATCTTTTAGGGTCGAGACGACCCGGACTCGGGGCTTTTCCCCTTAGTTGACATGCCTAATTGTATGCTAAAGATTCATGTTTGTTTTGCAATCACCTAATCGGTAATTCAAAAATTAAAATGTTAAAAAGATTACGATTAATTTTTTATTTTTTAGTTGTTGAAACTATCGCTTAGCCATTACAAAACAAATTAAATGTGATTGGTTTCTTGGTTCAATAGCAACTATAAAATGAATAACAAAAACATATAATTGATCGCTCTTGTTGGTCGTTGCATTGGCAACCACGAAACGAATAGAGCCATAATAATAACACAACTTTGATTTTGGCTTTTATGTTAATATTAATCGAACCAACAAAAATCTTCAAATTGCTTTAGAACATCCATATTACTAAGCAATGAGCTGCAACTACCACCTGAAAACACTATCAAGTCGCTTGTAAAAGTGAGATGCGTGATAGAGATTTTTGCATCGGAAATACATCCTGAAAATACCCAGGTGAACTACACAATTCAGCAGACAAAATAAAAATTTCATGACCATAATAAAGATATAAGGATAAAGCATATGTTTTTGGAGTAATCCCTTTATTGAAAACAAACAATGCTACATGCATAGAATTGAACATCAATCGTTAAAAAAAACTCCCAGATTAATGAATCAAAAGCTTTCTTATGAACAACCTTTAGAGCACCAGCAACGCTGAAACGATCCTTTAGGATCTTAA